TTATCATAATTCAATCTACATGAGGAAGCCCCTCATCCGAAGTTTGTAATTATCTGTTGCAATACAGGAATTCCGAAGGGGGCACGCGGTAGCGTAGTTGGTTGAGGCACCATGCTACAAGCCAGTAGGTCGCGGGTTCGATTCCCGATGAGGTCATTGGATTTTTCAATTGACCTAATCCAGCCGCACAATGATCATGGAATCGACTCAACCTCTAACAGAAATGAGTGGCAGGAATCTTCCTGGGGTAAAGGGTGGTCGGCGTGTAAGGCTGACAACCTCACCGCCATCTGTGAGCCGATTATCTAGAAAATATGGGGGTCTCGACGCCTCATAAACCTATTGGCCTTCATGGCCTGTTACAGGAATAGCTTCAGCTTCTACTTTTCCAGTTCACATTAAGACGTATGTATTCACTTAGCTGGAAGAAACGGCTCCTTTCCAAATAATGAATTTTATTTTATTTTCAATTTTTCGACCATATAGCTCGTACTGGAGAGGCCTCATTTTTCGTGTTCCGCTGTTGGGTCCTTAATGGATTGAGAGATTGGATGGTGAGGCAATAAAGACAGAGTTCTGGGGTACTTTGCTACACCCCTCAGAAATGCAGAAGTGGAAAGCGCAATTCAGGACCCCCTTTTACACGAGTTTTTTCATGGGACTACAAATCTCGGACATTGCGCGGAAGGAGTTTCGGTGATCTCTCGGCCAGTCTGATGCTCCTTTCTTTTTGTGCCCGTGCAAATGCGTATGAAGGAACTCGAGTATAGCCGGACACAGCCGAAGTTTTAACATGGAAACTGAGATGGCTAATTCGGTACAGCGTCTGGCTGCGGGCTGGACGGCCGAGGTTCAATTCCCGGCAGAGATAACCGATTTTTTTCTATTCCATAGCGTCGAAATCGGCTGTGAGGTCTACCCAGACTGGTATCCAGTGGGTGCGGAAGGTAAAGTGGCAGAAGCGTGAAGCTAATCGCTCACATTTATCTACTACCGATGTCAATAACGGTGGAGCTATACTTCCACTGCCCCATACGTCTCCATGGTGTGATCTCTAATTAATTAAGCAAATAGACAAATGTACCTTTTATACGTTTTCCAGCGAAGCATGCGCACTACACTTCTGCTAGGATTTGATGATACCTGGCTCCGCCTGCTTGTGAAGCAGGAAGCCCTACAGCAGACGGAAGAATGTAGCACTGTTGTAAAAATTAGGTTTGTGCATTTGGACACGGTACGTGCTTCGTACATGTAAATTCTCAGGGAAAATGCAGGAACTTCGCGTGAGGCCAACACGTGACTGTCGACTGGTGCTGTTTCAAGTCGAACAGCGCTGAGTGCGACACGAGGGGGTCATGAAACGCAAGTGGGACTATACCTCAGCTTGCAATAAACGCTCCTATCATAAAAACTAATGAATTATTTTACATTTCTTTTAGTGAACACACGAACTTACAGTATATTTGTGGACAATAAGTTTCGTTAAGCCGATCAGAGTTGCCGCGGAGTCCATAGCATGAACCTTCTATCCATCGAACGCTAGAATCTTGAGTTCGAATCCAACTCAAGGCATGGATGTGTGTGTGCGTTTATTCTGTTTGTGTTGTCCTGTGTGTGGGTAGCGGCCTTGCGACAGGCTGATCCCCCGCCCAAGGAGTCCTACAGATTGTGTGTAAATTAAGAATTTGAAAAAGGCGATTAAGGTCCAACAAGAGGACTGTAGAACCATAGATACACAAAGTCCCGATAAAGGTAAAAAGGTAAAGATGTCCCTGCAACAGGCCGTGGAGACCCATAGGGATGTGACACGTCGAGGCTTCCATATTTTTTAGACAATCGGCTCACAGATGGCGGTGAGCTAATTTGCCCCATGCTTAACTAATTAAGCACCACGCCATGAAGATGTATGGGGGGATTGGTGGTATAGTTTCAGCATTCTTCACCTCGGCAGTAGATGGTGGTAAGGAGTCAGCTTGCCCCCCCCCCTCCCGGCTGTTTTACTCCCAGGGATAGAGCCCCCGGTACGTGTTGTATAGAATGATGGGTGAGCTCCAGTGACGGTCTGGACACTGTGGAGAAGAGAAAACCCCTTTGCCTTTGCCGAGAATAGAACCCCGGTCTTCCGTCCCGGCTCATGAGTTCCATCAAAGCGACTGCACATCCTCTGCTTCGTGTGGATTGTGTTGTTGCGGTGAGATACAACTTTTGCTCCTGTTGTTGCGGACCAGGAATGTGAAAGTGACGAGGTGGAGGCGCGCTGCTTGTATGATAAACATGTGTCTTGTGGCGCGGAAACTGCCAGTTGTACATTGATCTGTATCACAGCACAGGTTTTTCTTTCCATCTGTTGGTACCTGAGGCGACTGTGAGTTGGAGTGTAAGACACAATACCACTTTCAGTCTGCCTGACGGACCGCCGGTCTAAAGTATTGTCTTAAGCAGTTTCACTTCTTTCAAACAAAAATGAGGTGTGCCCCATTTTACATTGAACATATCTGGCCTTGATGTTCGCTGGAGACTGACGGGAAAACCTGATATACTACAGTAAATTAATTTCTTTCTACCTATCTGTGGCTCTACAGCCCTTTGTTGGACCTCGGCCACTTTTCAGTTTCTTAATTTGCACACATTCAGTAGGACCCATTAATTTGAGGATCAGCCCGTCGCAAGGCCGCTACCTACACAGAGAACAACACAAACATCCGTGCCGTCAGTGGGTCTAGAAGCCACGATCGCAGTGTTTGAGCGGCCGAAGACTGTTGATGCTTTAGACCGCGCGGCCGGCCACTGTGATCACCAGCAAAGCAATTCAGAGCTACCGTAATGCTCATAGTTATACAATGATCTCTCCTTGTGTTTTGCTGAATATATACTGCATGGACAGTAGTGTGTCCAGACCACCTCTGAGGTCCACTCAACCTTCTATCCAATTGGTACAGGGGTAAAGCGGCCGTGGCGTGAAGCTGACCACTCAATTCCACCTAGTGCCGAAGTCAAGAAAATGTGGAGCTATACATCCACTCCTCCATGCGCCTTCATGGCGTAGTGGTTGTAGCAAACAGTAATGTATGACTTGCGGTAGCTTCCAATTCTGTAACTTTCACAGCAAGTTCCGTTGACTCTAAGGCAAGCGGTTCGGAATCCGACAGACGCACGCACATACACAGGGACGCATTTACATACTCAGCATGATTATTTCTCTCATACTTTCGCTGCCTCTTGCGTTCTCACCATTTGCCCCAAATCATGCAATTTAAAGTAAGAATGTGAAACAAAAAAAAAAAAAAGGCCATGAAGGCCCATACGGTTGTGAGACGTCGAGGCTCCCACATTTCCTAGAAAATCGGTTCACAGATGGCTCTGAGGTTGTCAGCCTTACGCGCCGGCCGTAATTTTAAAGTAAGAATGCGAAGAAATAAAAAAAAAAAACAGGCCATGGAGGCCCATACGGTTGTGAGACCTCGAGGCTCCCACATTTCCTAGAAAATCGGTTCACAGATGGCTCTGAGGTTGTCAACCTAACGCGCCGGCCGCCCTGAAAGCTTAAGTCAATTGCTAAATAAAATGACCTAATCGGGAATCGAACCCGCTACCTTCCGGCTTGTAGCATAGTGCTTCAACGAACTGCGCTACCGCGTGTCCGCGTATAAATGGTCGTAAACAGCGCAAACTAAATTTGTAAGCGAGTTTCCTGGTTGTCCTCTTTCGAGAACGTGTAGAATATTCAGACAATGCCCTTCGTGTCCTCAAAATGGTGTCCTACAGACTTACCCATCTAAACCCCAAGAAGAAAGCAGTCTTCTGGGATGTGGTGTTAACCGACGTTTCGGAGGAACGTATCGCCTCCATCTTCAGGGTAGAAGGATTTTCTTATTTTTCTTTCTACCCTGAAGATGGAGGCTATACGTTCCTCCGAAACGTCGGTTAACACCACATCTACACGGCGCCACATCCCAGAAGATTGCTTTCTTCATAGTCACCGCCGTGAAAACCTCAAAATTACATAAATCCCAAGAGTCTGATGAACCAAATTTTGACAAATATCGTTATAACAAACTAGGCAATGTGTGCAAAAGTACTTTTTATGTGAATACATGTATATACTCGTGCAAAGTCGAATGATAGACTGAAAGGGATTGTAGCCGGAGTTTAGGCAGAGAAACTGAGGAAAGCAGGAAATAAAGCGTAAATAGAGCACCTGATGATGGCACTATGTTGCCGAAACATGTCGTGAAGTAACAGGTGAAATTGAGTGCACTACAAGACGGCCACCGCATACATACCATGGATGAAAATCAGTGCAAGAGGACGCTAAAATACAACATTATGAATAGTAGTCATACTAGAAGCGTATACCAATACATGAGTTGTAAACGTAAACTATTACATTGCAATGCCAACATAAATTTTAATACGACATTATGGAAAGCAGGAGAGCCACCAACAATTGCAGTTAGGAGAATCAGTGTCCCATCTGTGATTCAAATCTGGCTTTTCCAGTGTACTATTTAGAAGCCTTGTCGCTTGAGCCAAACTGCTCGGCATATCCAGGTGTATAAATGTTAACAAGAGACAGCATTTCAACACAGACTTTTTAATGTGACCCACACAGAACAGACCATCTCTCTCTCACACACGCGTACACAAGTTCATACACACACACACACGCACATGTACACGCATTTAATTGTAGTTGTAATTGTATTTGTTGTAGTTGTATGTTGTGTGTAGTGTGTCCTTTATTGTTTGTGTAGTTTTGTGTGCTGTGTTTTGTCTGAATGTGGTGTGTTATTCTGTGTGATGTGCGTTATTTGTGTGTTGTGTATTATTGTAGTACCACTGCCACTGGGTAAAACCCCATTTGCAGTTTAAATAAATAATAATATACACACGCATACACACTCATACACATACACACAGAAATGATATAGACTCTAAGCTCCGCGTTTCAATAATACATACGTGTATGTAATTGGTGATACGATTTCTTCTATTTTCAGCACTCCTGTTCATATTTCACGTGCAACATGTCTTCCATTGCTCACCAGCTGTGGTCCCAGGGGTAAGTCGATGTTTGTTGTAACGCTCCATGTGTCAAGCAGAAAAATATTATTTCATTCTTCGCAGATGTACAAAAAAAACGAAAAAGAACTCCGTGACTTTAGTCCGCAAGCGAACTATTCCGACCGAGCGACCGCTGCTTGTCGGCGAAGTTTAGTGCCAACTTTTACGGATAGAGGATGTGGCGTGGTCAGCGAAACGAATCCCCACGGCCGTTAATTTCGGCTTTCTAGACCGGAGCTGATGAAGAAATGATAAATTGTGTCTTTAAAGAAAGGGTTTTGTTGGCACTAAAAAGTAGACATCATCGCAATCGGAAAATCAGCAGGAAATTGTGGGACAAGATTGGAAACGATTTAAAATGTCAACTTATTGTCATAATACGAGTAATTATGGAAAAATGAACAGCTGAAAAGCTACCTTCATTGTTGAAATAGTTTTTAAAAGATTTCTGATGTTGTATGTCCCTTGAACTGGCCTGTTTTCTGATCTTGATTTGGAACACCCGAGATTGTGATACGCGAATCATGAATTCCTTCTTTGTCAATACTAATACTGTATAACATGCCTGTACATTTTGAAGGTCAATTAGCTTTATCTAGTGCACTTACTGAGGAACCTCCATTTCGTTGTGCTTATGCCGAAGACACATTCCACTGTTCTCCGTGCTCATGAGGGCGTGTAGTTACGCGTCTCTCTCTCTTAATACAGAGTGATTCTAAATTGTTGTCGGGGTTTCCGTGGCCTATAATTTTCAAGCCTTTCGTGCCACGAAAGGCGCGCATTTTGAAGTTCTCTAGCATTCAGCAGTATTGATTCTAAAAATAATAAAACTTACTAAGTCACACTTTCATATTCCGTCAGTTGTTTTATTTGTTCCTGTTCGAAAATTTCTGGCCACGGAAACCCCGACAATAATTCAGAATCATTCTGTATCTTTTTATTAAGGCTTCATCGAATATGTCCTTAAGGGACAGGTATCATTACTTAGTAACGCACGAGGAAATTCATATTAGTTTCTGGAAGTGGAGGTACTTCATCAGTTGGCAGTTTGTTCTATTTCACATGGATTAATAAAATTTAATGCCATGAATGTCACACCATCATGGGCTGGACGACCGAGGGGTCGGAGTTCGATTCCGCCACGGTCAAGAATTTTCTCTTCTCCACATCGTCCAGACCGGGTCTGGGGGTCCACCCAACTCCTATACAATGGGTATCGGGGGGCACTTTCCCTGTGGTAATGCGGTCGGAGCGCGAAGCTGACCACTTAATTCCAGCTAGTACCGAGGTCAAGGAAATGTGGATCTATACATCCACCCCCTCTACTTCTTCATGGCGTCGTGCTTAATTAAGCTCAGGGACAACTTTACTTTTTACTTTTATATCATACCATCATATTGTTTTCCAACTCAAATTAAAACTTTGCATCATATGTAGCTTGCAAAACAATAGACAACTGCTTGTAAATGAAAATTCTGAACCCGAGATTTTGGGTAGAGGCGGGCTTTTCAAACAATTGTGCTCGACATTAGCACAATCAAAAAATTATGAAAATTCCATTTAGCAAAAACTCTATTATTATTATTTAACTGCAAATGGGTTTCCACCCGGTGGCAGTGGTACTGCAATAAGACAACAGACAAATAACACACATAAACATTTTCAAACAAAACACAGCACATAAACATTAGTAGAAAAACACAACTCCTTCTGCTTTGTTCTTCAGTAATTTCTCTGAAGAAAGGTTCGTTTGCAGCGGAATCCGTTTTCTTGCACATGACCCTAATACATCCGTACATTGTTGTCTGCTAGTGTAGATGGAATAGTAAATGACAGAAACCCAAGACACAGTTACCAGAATAATGTAAAAGTAAATTTATCCCTGAGCCAAATTAACTAAGACACAAAGGCGTGTCAGGGAGTGGGAGGACAGCGCCATCATTCTTGACCTGAGCACTAGATGGAAGTGAGCGCTCCGATCACTTTACCCCTCGGTATAAACTGGGTAGGAGGCTGAGTGGAGTCCAGATCCGGTCTGGATGTTATGGAGAGAATAAAGATCACTTCCTCCTACCAGGAATCGAAACCCGGCCGTCCAACTCATAGCCCGTCGCCATACAGACTAAGCTATCCCAGGATCCCCTGCTTGCCGAAACCTTAAAAAGTTAATAGGAAATACATGAATACTAATAATTGTCAAAAAGAATACATATTTTCAAGCTTAAAAATGTTTATAGCAAAACATATTCTGCTTCAGTATGTTAGAAGTAAAGGTAAAGCTATCCCTGTAACAGACCGTGGAGGCCCATAGAGTTGTGAGACGTCGAGAACCACACATTTTCTAGACAATCGGCTCAAAGACGGCGGTGAGGTTGTCAGCCTTACGCGCCGGCTGTCCTTTACCCCCAGGAACATTCACAGTACTCATTTCTGCTAGAGACTGAGTCGACCCCAGGGTCATAGTGCGGCTGGAAGGATTAGGTCAATTGGAAAACTCCAATGACCTAATCGGGAATCGAACCAGCGACCTTCCAGCTTGTAGCATAGTGCCTCAACTAACTACCCTACCGCGTGCCCCCTTCAGTGAGAAGTACAAATACAGATAACTTTGCCTTCATTTAGGTGAATCTGCAAAAGCAAAATGAAAGTTTTTGCGCGATATTTATAGGCTTTAGATTAAGAAATGACCTCATCGGAAATCGAACCCGCGACCATCCGGCTTATAGCAATGAGACCTCTGAAATAGTCATAAAATATTGATGGTTGCAAGCACGATTTATGAAAAATTGAATTCCCCTGGCTTTTCTCTTCATGCAGTTCATTTGTCCAATATTCTCTTCTGTTCTGTGAGAGGAAATTTCAAAAAATAGTTTTCTGCCAAGTACACATCCTTCTTTACGATTCATAATCACTGACTGATTGTTCGGGCGATGTTATGTGAATAGTACTGCCGCTTCAGGTCCGCTCGAATTCGCCTTCAGTGTGCTCGAAAACTTTAAAACCAAGAGTGAGGGTATCAGTAAATATGGGTTTAGACATGAAGTGTTGGTTATATGCTCTACAGAAATGTAACCCTCATGAAATGCAGTGTTTTATGTTTAAGGTATGGAAATGATGCTATGGGTTTTCTTTGTATGTGTGTGTCATATGCAAAAATGTTCACTGACTAAAATAATTTTGATTCTGTTTCTAGTACTTGGACTTCGATAACCTGCCAGACACCAATTTTTCTTGTGAGGGTAAAGTTATTGGAGGATATTACGCAGATGTTGAGACGGGCTGTCAGATGTTTCATGTCTGCACAATTGGACAGAAAGGTACGTGATAATCAGATGCATATAATTTTACTATAAACTGCAGGATAAAGCATTAACCCACCAAAATTAAATTATTTATTATTCTCAAAATTCTGTGTGATCACTAAACACGTGAGGCCATAACACACCATCCTGTTGCCCTAAGATTCATTTTAATATTATGCTTCCATCCTCGTCTAGATATTCCTCTCGCAGGTTCGCTCAGGGGAGTGGCGGAAGAAATCTTAATATATAAGTTAGATTTAGCAGGAGTGCAGGAGGTCAGATGGGATGGAGGTGGCGTCGCACCAGCAGGAGACTATACATTTTTCTATGGAAAGGGGAATGGAAATCATGAATTAGGTACAGGTTTTTTCGTACATAAGAGAATCATATCAGCAGTTAAGAGGGTAGAGTTCGTTAGTGATAGAATGTCATACATAATACTAATATGTCGCTGGTGTGATGTCATCATTCTGAATGTTCATGCTCCAAGAAAGGATAACATTTGTGATATGGATAGGTTCTACGAACAACTAGAATGTGTATTCGATAAATTCCCTAAATATCATATGAAAATTTTGTTAGGAGATTTCAATGCCAAAGTAGGCAGGGAAGATATTTTTGAACCAACAATTTGGAACGAGAATTTGCTTCATGTGTGTGGAGTTTTTTTATGTTCTTAATATTTGTCTTAACTCTCACAAATGGTTTATGCTGTGCCTGGTTTATATAACCAAAGTTGTGTTGCTGCTGTTGTCTGGAGATAGGGACTAGCTTTATAGTTTGCGCCCAACTGAGTAAGTTCTACCTGAGAATGGAGACATAATTCAGTCTCCAAAATAATGTACATTTTAAATAAAGCAGGATGATAAATACTGTCCAGAAACATAATAATTGTATTAATACACACAAACCCATAGATCTTAATCTGGTAGTAAGTTTATCACAGATATTTAGTATGAAAGAAACCCACTGAAAGTTGATAATTATGCATTGTGTTCCTGTTGTGAAGGAGAGACAACAGACATCAAATTTCTGTGCCTCAATGGCACAGTGTTTGACCAAGAGACCAGAGTCTGTGAACGTGTGGATGAAGTGGATTGCAGTAAAACTGAGGGCTTCTATGACCTGAACCTTGAGCTATATGGAAATGGTGCTGCTCTCAGGTGAGGAAAACTCATACCTCTATTTTATACTGAATGTCCTGCTTTCTGCAACTGGTAATTGTGTATAAATCATATTGTTAGAGTGCTATCTTACCACACACACATATTATTTTGATGAATTCCCTCTTATCATTACAGATGACTATGGACTTGAAAACATGCTGTTTTAAAAGATAATATTTTAATGTAAAATGTTTACCACATTAATGGCTACAATTTTTGTTTGTAGAATTTTCTTACTGGATACAAATTGGCTCATGGACTATTTAAAAATGATCTATAAATTCATAATTCTATCAATTTATGGCTGAAAACAGACTTATTATCTCGTTCACTTGTGTGAGATTCCTGACAAACTGGCCAAACATTTTCAGAACAAAGCTGCACATGAGGGAATTTCTTCACAGGACCTCCATTTATTCTACTAGTTGTTATAAGGACCTGAGGGTCTCACAGTAGTAGTTATTGACAGTTATGAAAAACTGAAGAATTCTATCTTCTGGGATATAACGTTTTATGATCCGTTGAAAGTGAACAGTCATTTCGGGGGAATATGTTGCCTCCATCTTCAGGCTCAAAGAATAAGCCAAGCAGGTGGCAAGCAGAACTTGCTATTTGCTTCACACTGGTATCTTCTTGGCTATTTCTGTGACCCTAAAGATGGAAGCAATGTGTTCTTCTGAAACACTGGTTGATTTTCAGCAGACTACATGGCATTATACCTAAGAAGACAGAAGTCTTCAGCTGCTTCTTTGTTTTTAATCTATACTACTGAATGATTTATAGTGTCAATAAGTTCAATTAAAAATGCAAGACAGAAAAGTAATATACACACAATGTGTGTTGTCCAGCAAAACTTTCTATACTGATATGTTAATTCCTGCTGCACTTTCACTTAGTGTCTGTTAGTTACAGTCTCACGTGCAACACTATGTTCTATACAATTTAGTAACCTCAAAAGTTTAAAAGTGTAAAATTCCACCACTGCAAGTTTCGACCAATGTGGTCATCATCAAGTGTTAGAATTTTTTATGAGGAAATTTCTGTTTTGTTGTTGCTTATGTCATTAAAAATATATGTCCTCCCGATGCACATATGCGTTTCAGTTGGCGGGATATGTTCTTTCTTGTTGTGTTTTGTGTTGCACAAAACACAACAAGAGAGGGCTAATTGACATTATGTGATACACTAATTTCTGATTTTGTTCTAGTTTCACAGAAGAAGAAGAAGAAGAAGAAGATGAAGAAACAACATCTGAACAAAACACAGAGGCCAGTGACACACCTTCTCATGGTCCTGGTTTGAAACACAAGACATCCACTTCTAGACCTTCTACTGTACCTCCTCCCATTTCTACCCCTATTGTTCCTCACCCTGCTTCCACAACTACCCCCAAAATTCCTGCCCATCCATTTGTTCCCACCACAACATTTAAGCCTAGTCAGCATATAACGCACTTCCATTCGACCACACCGTCGTCAGTAGCAGCTTTTCTTGCAATAAACAATGCCTTTTCTTCTTCCAATACTAATCAAGATGGAAATAAATTTGGAGACGATTCTAGCCAATATGATGAAGATGATGAGGAAGGGGAGGAGGAAGAGGAAGAAGAGGAGGAGGAAGATACAGTTACACATCATCCTGGAATTCAAATAAACAGTGGCATAAGCCATCATTTTCCTGTAACCACAGTGAGCAGTCAGGTGCGACCTGTTAGTCCAGAACATCACAACATACCACAGCAAAATGTAAAAGTACATGGCACAGGGGAGAGTGGTTTGGTCTTGAATCAGTCAAACAGACAACAGCCACAGAAATCTCAGTCCCCGTTAACTCATTCAGCCCATCTCTATGGACATGATTACCATCAGACTCCTCATATCGCTAAAGATGAAAATGCTCATTCCAAGCACCAGCTCAACACACAGTTCATATTAAACCAGCAAAGGGATAACGAGAACAAACAGCTTCATGGCTTTAAACCAATTTCAAACACAGATAACAGGAATCAATTCTTATTTTCATCAACAACCCAACAACCTCCAATTCTTTATACAACAAAGAGTCTTCCTGGATATCATTCTCCTACCATAGAATCATTCTCTCTTCATGCCATAGATTCGCAACCAGCTATCCAAACCACTCAGCGGTCCCCTAACAACTCTCCTTTTCCACCACAAACTAACGCACATCAAGTCCCTCCTAATACTATAGCTCAAAAAATACGTGCCAGCATTGCCAGTAATGGAGGCTTCCTTGCACAGACAATTCAAATTTCTCCGAATCCCCTAATATTCCATCTGAATTCAAAGAGTAAGAACCGTCAGGGGCATCAGCTCTTTACAACTCCTTCAGTAGCAGTGATAGCAACCACTAGCAGCTCTTCAAGCAGTTCAAGTGTAAGAAGTGGCCCATCAGGCAAGGCTGGAAATATTTCTCCAGTGGTACCATTGACATCAAGTACTGGAAACACTCCAAAGGGATCTAGTGTTAGTATCAATTCCTCAGTGCCTGCCCAACTGTTTTCTGAAACAACACCACCAGATTCATATGATGAATACCAAGAAGCAGATGTTGCTTCGGACCCATTCTTTAGAGATGTGCCAAAAATTTCCAGACTATCCACAACACTTAACATTCCTTCCCCAACTAGACATGGAATTATTAGAAATAAACGTGAAGCATTTAGGAAATATCATGCAAAGTCACAAACTGTCTTTCAGCAACCTCAGAATACTGCAAGGTATAGGCGAAAAGCTGTAGCACAGTTTGGATTACCAACTGAAGTATTTAGAACTGGAGAAGGAAGATACAGAAACAGGCCAGGAGGTCCAGCTGGGAGTCACGATGGCAAATCAAATCATCAGAGTAATTCACGGGGGCGAACCAGAGCAGAATCCCAATCTAGAAAGACAAGTAATCCAGAAGAATTAGTGTCAAAGGAAAGTAGTTTATTATCAAAACCCAGTCCCTTTGTTGCTGCAACACATGAAGTTTCAACAGTAATACCAGAAACCTACCAAGAGCCACCACAATATTCCAGTATCCATCCTGACATTCGTTTGCCAAATTTTTCCCAGAAACATTCAGAAAGCGCCACATTGGATTCCCCTTTGAGAACTGAAAGTCATCAGGGACACAAAAGAACTTTTGTGAGAGTCAGAGGGCCTCATAAACAAAATGTTGCAGCAGACATAGATACCCATAATTCTTCGCAAATACCAAGCTTGTCTGATCATACAAAAAGTTTGCATCAATTCATGGGCAATTCAAGACTGAATGTAAAATCTGTTGAAGCTACTACAATACTGGCTGGTTTAATAGTACCTACTTCAGGATCTATACAAACTTCTCATGAAGTACCCAAACCAAATGTCAACGTATATGCAGGAAATCCTGAAACATTACAAGATTCTAGAAAACACGATTCTATTGCAAGAACATATAGTAGGGGAGAAAATAGACGACTGCACCATCAGCCTTCTCAAAGTAACCTGGATCACGAAAAAAGAGTTGCAAGTAAATCAGAAAGTTCCAGGCAAAGAAGCAGTCAGGGGACTAGATTGGGGGCTGCTGACAATGTTCATGAAACTCGTGAATATCAGGCAAGGGGTTCATTAACCTCTCAGCTGAGAGATAATATAGATACTGTGAAGTCAGCGAGTAGAGAAAGTGACCACAGACATTCTAATTCTGAAAATACAGAAGATAGAACTTCATACAGTCATCATGCAGAGGCCCCATCTAGAATCAGAAGCCGCGGAAGGAAGTTTGGTGTCTCAAGCACACGCCAAGATAGAGTAAGGTTAGATGGCAATGGAATGATACCGCCAGCCAATGACTCTGATGTGGGATCTGGAGTTGCTACTGAACCACCCTCTGAACCTCTGGCTTCACTACCCGAGACAAACTTCAGTTGTGCTGATAAGATTCCTGGAGGTTACTATGCAGACCTTGAGGCAGATTGCCAACTCTTCCACATATGCTCTGTGGGTAGACATGGAAGGTAAGTATAAAGTATAACTTATTTGAAAGCGTAGTAAGTAGAGATGTCCAGAACCAGATATACTGAAGTCTTCAGAATGGTATTATTAGTGGTGTTGTATCTTTGAATTTGTTACATAAGTGTTAATTTAATTATGTTTATAATCCAAGGTTAGACTACATTAACTACTCAAGCATTTTCTTGAGAAACCACTATATTGTCAATAATAAGTCATGGTTGATTAGACACATCATGCAGTCCTTTGAAGTAAAGTAAAAAAGTAAAAGTATCCCTGTAACAGGCCTTGGAGGCCCGTAGGGTTGTGGGATGTTGAGGTTCCCACATTTTCTAGACAATCGGTTCAAAGATGGCAGCAAGGTTATCAGTCCTACCCACCGGCTGCCCTTTATCCCTAAGAATGTTCTTGGTACTCATTTCTGTTAGAGGCTGAGTCAACCCCAGGGCCATAATGCGGCTGGAAGGATTAGGCCAATTGAAAAATCCAATGACCTCATCAGGAATTGAACCCATGAGCCCCTCATGCAATCCTTTGAAAGCAAATATATTGTATATGAAATCTAGATCTGCAAATGTCATATGTATTGACTCATTTTTTAATTCTTTGCATTGCCAGATCAAAGAACAAAGGGGAAAGGGGTATATCAGGACCAAAAAGGGAAATGACCAAAAAAAATTATGTAACCAGGAGTGTCGTGATTTGAATGCTTTAACTAATATTTAGGATGATTAAGCCAAGAAGGATGAGACAGACTGGTCTGTAACACTTACGGAAGAATGAAGAAGTACATCGAAGCTTATGGTTGAGCAGTCTTAATGGAAGAGAATTTTTGAGAGGCCTGTGTTGTCAGAAGCCTATTGCAAGCTAAGAAATTTATGCTATTTATTTATAATTAGGCAGACACTTCTAAGACAGTAGTGTCCACCCCTTTTGGTTTCCACCAAACATTCATACTCACTCTCCCACGTTTACTGATTGCAATAAATTTAACAATTTCCACTCATACTGAGATTACTGCTCATGACTGAGCACGTCATACTTATTTTAACCACATGTTCGATGCACATGGGGAAGATTGAGAAACATTCATATACATTAAATATGATTTTATTGATGTGTTTTTTATTGGTTTATATTCCTGAAGTGTAGAAAAGCCAGTTAGATAGGCTGTTGTGTGTCACAGACACGATGACAATGAAAAAATATTCAAATTACTCCAACATAAACTGACATCATGATGTTGGAATTATGTCTGTATGTCAGGTAGCATATGTAACTTTACATGTACAAGTACCCCTCGTTCTACAAACACTCAATGTACTAATTTTTCACTATAACGGAGCATGTTAATTTACACATACTTTTCACTTAACCAACTTCATTTTTGCTACAATACAGAACCTACATTTTGAAGCTTGATCACTTTTACATGTAAGGTAATGGGAATTTCACTTTCAATATATATGAATATATATGAATTTTCACCTTGCAGACAGTTTTATGGAATGAAATACCTTCATAAATTGAGGTATGCCTGTATTTACCTCAAGAGCTTATGTACCAACATGTATTGATGTGCCATATTCTTCTCTGCTGCAGAATTACAGACAATAAATTTTTATGTGGACCTGGTACAAGATTCAATCAGCGAAGTCGAACATGTCAAGTAAGAGACTTGGTGGACTGCAACTTGTCAGCCTCACTGTACTACCTGAACAGCCATTTCAAGTTGGAATCTCCAGGTAATGGTTTTGCATGTCATATGGAAAGGGCAGTCTCCATTGCTCAGTGACTAAAATACCCAGGACTGGTGTGTGGGTGTGACTTAACAATTTACACAGCACACTCAGTGTTCTTTGTAACAGTTCTTAACCCTTTGCTTCCCCTCCACAAGGTTAACTGTACACCAGTGCTTTGTCCAAACAACTACCCACAACCAATATTGGACAGAAGCATGCCATGACTAAACAAGATATTTTACTTTGAGCACTTAGTTTTCCTCTGTTACCAGATGGTGCATGTAGCTGTGCTTAGCAATTCCATGGACACACGTACATTATTTCCAAGTCATTTCCTTGCTGTGAAATACCAAAAACCACTCATGTACTGTGAAAATAACTGGGCTGGTAGGTAACCCAGTAGCAGAATTATTGAGAGTGAAAGCATTTACCTCTTTCGTTTAATTTTCCTGCATTATAAGAAACAAAATATAAGTATAAAATATAAATTTCTCACTAAATTTCTTTTCCATGTGCTGCATTCTTTTGTGTAGACTTTTCCTTCATTAGTTATGGACCTACAGACTTCCTTTTTATTAGCAGTGATTTAACCATTTGTTTCTAAATCTTATTTCATGTTTAATGTTTTCAGATGATATTTCGAAGTATAATGTCAACTTTGAAGCGCACAAGATTCGAACCAGACGAGAAGCACCCAAAGGTAGGTGAATGCATGTACTGTATATGTAATGATACAAATTTGCTGGAACTATTGTGTTTATGCAAGCTCAAAGCTGATATTAAACATGCAGAATCTGAGGCTCTCACATCAGTGGTTATGAAGAGATTCATCATCTGGTGTACAATGCCATGTAGTCCTTTGAAATTCAGCTTATTTTTGGATGAATATGTCACTTCCATCTTCAGGTAGGTCACAAGCACATATCTGCTTGCTGCCTGCTTCTTGTTGGTTTTTTGCTTGGGTTATTCCTTCATCTTGAAGATGGAGGTGACATTTTCCTCCAAAACATCACTTGACTTTCAACAGACAGCATGGTGTTATATCCTACATAACTTTTTTATTAAAGATATCTTATTGGCTGAGAAAATATAATATCTGCTCTGAATTATCCCCAGTGTTCTGTCACACAGATGGAGACAATGGAAACTACCCACAGGAAATCACACCAAACATTATTTTATATTTTTGTACATAGCTTTTATAGGTGCATTAGCTCCTTGCTGCAGCATTACTGCCTTGAAACGTTTTGTAACTGCATATTGTATAGTGGTGTATACGTAGGTCGGTCAAAAAGTTCCGGGAATTCCCCTGCAGGCGGAGAACGAGTGATAAGATAGTGCACACATTGTTGTGGTGGGAAGCTCATCATGTCTGCTCGCAGGCACAACAGGTCTAGACAGGTTTCAGTGTGCAGTGTCATTACTGTTCCGTTTGAATTAGATGTGAGTGTTGGTCATTCGGCACAATGTTGCCGTTCGAACAGCTTGCAAACATCGAGTTCATGTGCAAATTGGGAAAATCTGCTTCAGAGATGCTATTGGCCCTGCAGCAATTTATGGTGATACTGCACTAAAGAAATCCGCAGTTTACTACTGGTTTTTCCGGTTTAAGGATGGGCAGGAGACGTTAGAGGATGACCAGCGCAGTGGGAGACCTTCAACATCCAGAACCAAAAAAATGACTGGAAAAGTAAGACAGCTGATTCGATGTGATCGAAGAATGACCATTGCGGAGTTGGAGCAAGGAGTTGGTACTGTTACTGGCCATTTCTACGTGCAAGTTTTGCAGAGGTTGCGTGATGCGGTTTGGAGGAAGCGGCGTGACAAGTGGAAGGAACAGTGGTTTCTGCATCATGATAACACACTGAGCCACACATCGCTTGTCGTGCTGCAATTCCTTGCCAAGAAAAACATTCCTGGCGTCACTCAACCACCATACTCTCTGGATCTCACTCTGAGTGAGTTTTGGTTGTTCCCTACTCTGAAAAGGGCTTCAAGGGGACATGTTTCGCAACCATGGAGGACATCAAATCGAATGTGATGGCTGAGCTCTGGAAGATTCCAAAAGAAGCCTTCCACCACTGCTTCCAACAATGGTAGGATCAATGGAGCAAGTGTGTGCGCGCACAAGGGTCCTACTTTGAAGGTGATTAGGTACACGTTGCCATGTGTCCTACCATTAGAGTGCTATACCACCATTCCGGGAACTTTTTGACTGACCCTCATATATTGCTGTATCAGCAGTAGCCTTATCTTAGTGTTAGAAAGCAATGAAAGTTCTGCACACTTCCACAGTGTTATATGGTGAGACAACATCAGTGCTGTCAGTGGTTTAGATACTAGTTTCCTCCCATCATATGGTTCTCTTTGTCTTGTCCCACTTAAGTCTTATATGTGGAAAATGACTGATGTCACCAAAAGCAGTGCTTAGTGGCTGGTCTCCTGTCCTCAAAATGGAAATATAGAATATTCTTTTATTGCTAGTGGGGTGTGACTAAGTCCCTTATACTGCGGCCACTTCTGGCCTATTGTACCAGCCCCAGATGATTCAGTTATTCAGTATAGAGGGGGTGGGTNCGATACGTTCTTCCGAAACGTTGGTTAACACCACATATACATGGTGCCAAATCCCAGAAAACTGCTTTCTTCATAGTCACCGCCGTGAAAGCCTCAAATCTTACATAATAGTATATTGTACGTCCCTTTTTAATTTCTACTGTCGCCATACCCTACTGATACTGGTGCCCGCTATCTCTCCTTTCTGCCAGCGAGGTCGGCCCTCTATTGGCATTGGTACCCGACAACTTCCCCATCTACTGGAGGCATTGGAAACTACTTGGGCGGGAAACATTTTGCCTACTTTTGCTCAGAGGTCTCCTAGAGACATGAGGATCTTTTACATGCTGTAAATCTATGACACGGGACCCACAGCTTAAAGTCCCTCCCGGAGGACTTGTTCCCTGAATATTTCCACCCTTAAAAATTCCAGGATCTCCGCCGGGTTTGAACCCGTGTACCTTGAGTCATGAGGTGGGAACGTTACCCCTAGAATACAGAGGCCACTTAGCCCCAGATGATAGGTGAGGGTGATTGTAGAGCAACTGGTGAAATGAGGATTGGCAGGGGAAACCGAAGTACTCGGAGAAAACCTGCCCCAGTGCCACTTTGTCCACCACAAATCCCACTTGACCAGACACGGGATTGAACGCGGGCCGCCGCGGTGGGAAGGCAGCAACTAACTGCTTGAGCTATGGCGCGGCCAAACATAGAATAAGTCAATGTGGGGTTTGTGTTGGACACAGTGGCATTAGCGCAGGCTTTCCCAAATTTCTTCTGTCTTTCTGCTGTCAATTATCATTCCATTAATACACCTTTTCATCTGTTAATAGGGGCTCATGTAATAAGTCCATTTAAGTTCCAGTTGACTCAGTCTCACAACACTCCTAGAATTGAAAAAAAAAATGTTTGGGAAGACGATGAATGTACCACCATGTGTACACTGACTTTGACTAAACTGCCATCAAAATAAAAGCAGTTGCTGTGTGGTAGCCAATTCTTGGTCGCTGACTGTGCCAATCAGGACATGCACACATTGTACAGGGGATGGACAAAAATATGGAAACACCCAACAAAAAACACATTACTATAACTAATATGGTGTAGGACAACCTCAGGCTTGCAGAACTGCCTGCAGTCTCCTTGGAATGGATAAATAGAGGTCCTGTATGATTTGTAAGGGAATCTTGTACCATTCTTCCTGCTAAACATTGGCAAATTCTGCTAACAATGATGGATGTGGATAGCATGCACACTAATTGCTCTCCAAAACAGACCACAAAGGCTCAATAATATTGATATCTGGCGATTGTGGGGGACTTGGCAGACGTGACACTTCATTTTCATGCTCAGAAAACCAGTCCTGGACTATGTGAGCTGTGTGAACACGGGCACTGTCATCTTGGTAAATGGCATCACCATTGGGGAACAAAGTTTGCACCATGGGATGGACCTGGTCGCCCAAAATGGTCACACAGTCGTTGGCAGTGACGTGACTTTGCAGAGTAATGATGGGTCTGACAGAATACCACGATATGTCTGCCCATACCATGATCAAACCCCAGCCATGTTTCACTCTTGGCAGCAAACAATCTGGATCGTAAGCTTGGGATGGCGTTCTCCAGACGTAAACTCGGCCAGAAGTCGGAATCAGTGTGAAGGTGGAACCAAACGACCATCTTCCATTGCTCCATAGCCCAGATTTTATGACTTCGGCACCACACTCTCTTCTTAGTGGCATTTTGATCACTGATGAGTGACTTTGGAATTACAGCTCGTCCAGAAATACCCTGCTTGTGGAGTTCCCTTCATACTGTTTTGGTGCTGACAGGGTTTGTGAGTGTGACATTCCAGCAGCCACTTTTGCAGCTGTAGTCTTCTTATTTTTCGTCACAATCCTATGCAATGTTCATCTGTCTCGATCACTCAAGACACATTTCTGTCCACGCTGGTATTTATCGGATGCCGTTTTTCCAGTCCTCCTGTATGAGGTCATAATCTTGGATAATGTGCCTCGCGAAACACCAAAAACCTTGGTTACGGAAGCAGCCACCATATGAGCCCCAACAATTTGCCCGCATTCGAATTCTGTTAGCTCTGACATGATGCACTAAAAACTGCACAGAACACTGTCTCGACAACAAATGAAGCTTGCAACATATTGCGGAGGTTGTACAGGTAGTGGTGTTGGGCAGATAAGACAGCGTCACCTACAAACGTCGCTAAAATAAACACTTCAATTCAGGCATGCATTTCACAAGATGTTCCCATATTTTTGTCCATCCCCTGTATAACAACTGTTGGTCAATTATTTCATACACACCTGAGGGAGTTCAGCTTTCTGCTGTCATGAAATAAATATTCCATAAAAATTACCTACAAACTCTTGGAAACCAAATATGAATAACACTCATCCAGCTGTTCAGATATTAGTGAGGGGGGAGACACACACACACAAATGGTATTCCTGAAAACCACCCTTTCATGTTCAGCAAGTCTGAAAATACGTGTATGTAAATCGATCAGAATCTCAAGATGATAATTTTTTCCCGATCTCAGTGCTTTCTCATATTTTATAGACGAGAAAGTAAAAAAGATCCTGTACCTGAAAGCCACTGAGGCTATATTTTGTATGACCTGAAATGACTTGAGTATGTTCATAATGAACATTGCAACATGAACCAAGCAAGTCAGCTGAAATAGTAACACTACTGATTTGCTTTGGAGACCCTGGTTCGATTATTTGTTGGGTTATCAACTATGCAAAGGATGTTTTCATGGATTTTCTAAGTCCCTCTAGTAATGTGCCAGGATAGTAACTTAAATTATGCCATGGTCCCTTCCTTCCACTTCTAGACCTTGCAAAAATAAACCAGATATTAATCTACAGACACAAAAAGTAAGTCAGTAACAAATTTTTTATATTTCAGCTGCATCATCAACTGACAGGGGTCCACGGCAGCACTACACTATCGACAACCTACCACAGACATCATTCACCTGTGAAGACAAGCCTCAAGATGGACTTTACGCTGATGTGGAGACGCAGTGTCAGGTGTTTCATCTCTGTCGTACTATTTCTGGACAACTGACCTTGGAATCATCCTTTGTCTGCCCACCAGGTACAGTGTTCAACCAGCCAGAGGGAAACTGTGACACATGGAAGGAAGTGGATTGTGCACTTTATTCTGCACCTGAACACTCCTTCAAGAAGACAGCAACTACCGGGACCAGGGGTCAGGGTTCCAAAGACAGGAATAAACGGCAGGCTATTATGAAAGGTACACAGACTGAGTCACCAAAACAGAAGATTATGCACAAACTTGGGGTAAATAAGAATTACAGGTTCAAACGTGGAACTGAGAAAGAAACATTCGACTATTATGACTATGTAGACGATAATTATGAAGCACATGCAGCAAAACCAGAAAATAGAGATATGTCACCTGGAAGTGACCAAACAAAAGAATCTAACGACAACTTTTCTAATGTTGAAGATAATGTTTCTACTGAGAGACATGCCAAACCAGGACCACATTTATTTAAGTCAGAGGAAAAAGGAAAGGACGGGCAGCAAGCCACAGTTTCAGCTGGGAATGGCAATACCGATAGTAACACAGGGACTCCCGAGCATTATGAAAGTTTCTTGCCCTATGCTATAGGTACTTTAGTTCCCACTGGGTTTCACCATAATGAAGCTAAGGGAACAAGAGAAGAAAATACTCCACTCGTACAACCATATGAGTTATCTGTGCACAATAAATCTGATGAAGGTAAGATAGAAGATACATCTGATTATATTTATGAGTATGAATATGTTGATGAAATTATTACAACTACATCTAATCCAAGGAACATTAAACAAACTGAATCTACCTTAAATGAGAACAATAAATATATCAGAAATTATGCTGAATCTACTAACCCGGAATTCAGTCATGATCTAAAAAGTTCTAATCAGTCTGTTACAGTACAGACAAATGATTTCAAAATTATCGATTTAAATCACAGTTTGGATGACACCTTAACATTTTCTACAAACATACCAGGAAATATTCCAAATAAAACTAAAAATGATGAAGTGACAACAAAAACAAAAATTGTGCCGAAAGTAGATTCTGTTGATGTCACTTCAGATGACTATGAATATGAGTATTACTATGATGAAGGTTACACTGAAGCTAACAGCAACAGTAAACAACTGTCTTCAGCTAATGGGCATAAGATAACAGATTCTGAAAAGCAAAGTGATTACTGTGCACACTGTTTGGATACAGAAGAAGTTAAACATCAAAAGCACAGACCAGCTGTGGCAGCACAAGGAAATTTAAATGGTACTCATGAGAACAGTAATTTTGGAGTCAGTATGAAAGTATTAGAAAAATTAAATGTAACGCCACCAGCCCCATTCCAAGTTAATGCAAAGAAACAGATGCATTTTGGAACTGATATTACTGCCCATGATACACAGAAGTCAGGTTTCATTCAAACAGGTAGAATTTCAGAACTGTTTGAAACAAATGAAAATCCTAGCCTTATGCAAGAAATGGGCAAAAGGACTACAGATACAGCAGCAGTTCAGAACCATAAAAAGTTATATGAGAGCAACTATGATGAAGAAGGAAGTGATGATATTTATTTGGCTTCTCATACAACCCACTTGCCCAAGGAAACATTTGATAGTTTGAGAATGGAAACCACAACTTCACATATGGTTCTAGAAGAAGAAACTAGTACAAGCCATGAACTAAATTCATCAACTCAGAATGTACAAATAGTTGATCCAATTGCAGTCTCTCTAGAAGAAACAACACCGTCTCTTGGATTACCAGATTATCGCACAACTATTGCAACAACAGCCGAATCTCAGAAAGAAGGTACTTCTCCTAATTACAGCACCACTTCATATGCAGATGTAATCCCATATCCGCTAGTCGGGGTGCCTCTGTCAAGAATTGAGAATCAGACATTTACTGAGGCTATAGTGCTGGACTCTTCTTCACAAACTCCACTGCCATCACCAGTCCCTAGCTTATTAAAGCCTCCAAAACTTCATAATATCATTATGAATCACTTTTCAACTCCAATTCCACCACCAGCCGCGATCCAGTCAAGCAACACACTTACCTCAAGGAAACCTACACTCAAGAGGAATCAACACAGGGGTACCACAGACAACATGGGACATAATATCAGACAAGATGAAGGAAAATTAAGGAAATCACATAGATTCACACTTCTGCCTGGTAGGAATCCTACCACACATGTGCAACAAATGCATATAGCGGAGAATACTACTACTACTCTTGCAACATCCTTCGTTGCTGATAATCCAGTCATTGATGATCAAGAAACAAGGCCACAGAACAGAGTTCCTAATATACAGTCATCAGAGACGATCAGATCTAAAGAAACATCATCAACAGTTCCCCACAAAGGAGACAGTACATATGGGATTCATCATGGACTGGAATCTGAAATCCTTCTGCCATTCACCAGAGGCTCAGAAAGTAATGCCAAGCCTACAGACAAGTTAATATCACCGAACAATGGAGCTTTCTATTCATCCCAGGTTTCAACAGAGGCTGTATCATCATCCGAACCGCCTACAATCCCTGCTATGGAGAATTCAGCGCTCACTTTCACACCAGAGTATGAGAACCATGATTTGCCAACAGTAAATTCTTCGGTTATATATAACGATGATATAATATTAAATCGCTTTAGAGCTGATAATTATTCTATTGATTATGCAATTAGGAACAATTTTGAACTAAGTGGACAGAATTCTACAACTGTACATGTGTTTCCAGCAAATGATCTAACATTCCCAGTTACAACTCCATCTAGTTTATTCAAACACCCTTCAGCTGAAACCACGGAGGTGTTACCAAGCATGTCTCCTTCCCTTCATGCAGGATATACACTCTCTTCAGTAAATTCCCAGCCTTCTATATCTGTTGACGGTATGCTTGCCAATGGTTTTGTATGCACAGGGAGAGAGCTGCATCGGTATCATGCAGATACAGATGACTGCAGGATATTTCATTACTGCTCTGCAGGTTTTCACAGCCGACAAGTTTTGGACTTCAGGTTTATGTGTGAAAATGGAACAGCTTTCAAAGCTGACACCCAGAAATGTGAAAATGAATTTCTTGTACCCACATGTGTGAATTTGAAGGTAAAAAATGAGTGATAACAGTAATGAATAGAAATAATTATCCTTCCTTTGAAGTTGGATGCCACATGCATCTCCATTTGACAGTGTTAAGTACATAGTAATTTTATACTGAACACAAGTACTAGTTCATTAAAGTAGCAGATGAAGTGGCTACTCTGTTATTATGTTGCTGATTTAGAACAAAGTACTGGTTAACATGGCTGAAAATACTTTTTTCTAAAATACGCTTTAACTTATGTGATATGAACATCAAGAAAACAGAAGTCTTATTCTCTGTATACACCTGCTTCAGAACCCATGGAGGCTATTTTAAACCATCTTTACTCCTTCACCAACAGTAGTCCCCAAAAAATGTTTCATTTGAGCTACACTCATAGGGACATAACAATGCTCATTTTCAGTTTAGGCACAGGTTTGATTAATGTTACAGTTTTTAGATACACATAAAAAAAATTTAAAATCATGAACTGTTAACAAAAATTATTCTGGAGACATTTTTAATAATGATAGTGCTGTACAATACATTTTGTAATTAAGCAGTAATTATTGTACCAAAATTGTGGAAGGTTACCCTATGTAACCAATCATTAAAGTAAAACAATAAATGAATATTTTGTTGAAAAACATGAACATTAGACCTAAATGCCAACATTATTGTCTTGGATAGTATACCAATTAAGCACCAGGAAACTATCACATCTCCTTATTTTGGATGCTTTTTTAAACCTTTTTGCAGTTTCCTTGCTTTTTTTGAGAATGGTGTCACATTTAAAATCGTCATGCCAAAATTTAGTCTTGGATATTAAATTTTAGGAATTCATTCAGAGTAGACATAACTTACTTATTTATGGAGATAATTATTAACATCCATTACTTTCAAAGGGTAGCTATGTACTGACTTGTATAAAGGTTTACTTTTAATCTCTCTTTGCATGGCAAATAAATCCTGAAAATATTTAAAACCTGGATACCACGTTTGTGGGTAGAATTATAAGGACTAATTTCTTTTTGTATGTTGAATTATACTGTCTGAAAGAAGGGCAAGGAAAGGATTAAATTGGGGCCTACGGAATACAGATCTAAATATTATTTTCTTATATGCAGAAAAATATATGGGAGAATTTTTGTGGTGCACTGAAGTTTTTGAAATAGCCTTTCTCTTTAAGGTTTCGATATGCTTGATACTTAGAAGTAATGAATCTTTCAACAGACCTTTGACAGTGTTTGGGACTGATCTAGTTAAAAAACTGAAAAAATAATATGTTTGCTCATTAGAGGAATGTCGCCTTCGTCCTGAAAACAAGTGCATTTTAAACAAATCTAACTTGTAGTTTCTGATTTAGGTCAGTGGAGATTCCTCACACTAAGTAATAATTATAGTTGCTGATGATGTCATTCCTATGAACACAGACAAAAATTCCTTCAGAGAAGACATGAACATGTCATACGTTAGGGTTCTTTATGGATGGAACATTCAAACACCCATAATTTTCCCTGTGATGAGAGTTTTATTCTTTAAATACACTACAATGATCAGGAACACTTATGTTAGTACTGTGCAGATGAAGTAATTTTTCAAAGTCTTTCATGATCATTTGTGGCATGTCACCTTTTTGTTTTACATCTTGGCAAAACTTTGAATTAAATGGAGATGTTACCATGCAGCCACACAACCAGTCAGTAGCTCATTAAGATATGCCAAAAACATTCAAGGAAAAGGAGCCTCACACATTGTGACATCCAAAACTGAAGTTCTGACTGCAAAATATAATAACATTATATCACCCCTTTCCTGTTGGTGCATCATAATCCAAGTACTGGCATTACTTGAGAGTATGAAGAATTTTAATTGTAATGCATAATTCTTATTTAACAAATGATTTATATCATAGTATTTTGGTGTAACTGTAAATTCATGAACAGGTATTTAAGGGGGATGTTTATCAAGGGAGAGTGACATAAAGTATTTTATGAGCTGCTAATTTATGGCATTGAATAATTATAGAAGAAAGTTGGGAATTATTATTATACTCTCACTGTATCTCCAGGACACCATTTGCTTAAAGAAAATGTAATTTATATACTGCAGCATTCTCTTGCATTTCATTACATGGGGGGTATTTAACTGTGGCTTGTAACGTGAAACACCAATGATATTGCTTTCACTTACCATAACTAACTGAATGGAGCTGAGCCTTTCTTCAGAAACTGCCAGTTGTACAATTACTCAAGAATTTCCCAACATTTTATGGAATACGAAGGTTTATTACAGTGTTCACAAGAGCCCTCAACTGGTCCCTGTCCTAAGCCACATCAATCCAGTCTATACCACCCCATCCCATTTCCCTCTAAGATTCATTTTATATTACCCTCCTACCTACATCTAGGTCTATGTAGTGGTCTCTTTCCTTCTGGCTTTCCCACCAATATCCTATATGCATTCCTCTTCTCCCCATTCATGCTATATGTCATATCCATCTCATCAACCTTGACTTGTTCATTCTAATTATACTTGGAGAAAGGTACAAGTTATGAAGCTCCTCATTATGCAGTTTTCTCCAACCTCCTGTCACTTCATCTCTCTTCGGTTCACGTATTCTCCTCAACACCCTGTTCTCAAACACTGTCAGTCTATATTCCTCCCTTAATGTCAGAGACCAAGTTTCACACCCATACAGAACCACAGGCAAAATTATAGTTATTACTATATATTGTTTTTAATGATAACATCACATAACCATTAAACTAGAAGTTTAATGTAATTGAATAACATGTTCTTGCTAACAAATATTCATCATCAAATTCTTAGTGCATTGTATTGCTTGTTACAAAAGTATGAGGAATTTAATAATAAATAACATCATAAATGTTATCAAATGAAACAAAATGAGATTAATTTCAAAATTAATGTTGTCATTTAATTATTAATCTTCTTTTCCTTAATTTTATAAGATTCTATTACATATATATATATATATATATATCACATGGATCATTTGTTCTCTGTTGGTGGAATCAATCTTTCGTAATGTTCGTTGCTTACATTTGGGCATTTGTACCTACTAGTGAGCTCAGAACTCTGATTCAAAGTTATGTAATAAGCAGCACAGGACACAGTAAATTTGATGGGGACTATTTGTCGGTAAAAACTTGTTCCATTAATCTTAATAAAGTACAAGGGTGAAACGAAGCCTGATTAAAAAATTAAAAACAGTTACGATAATGACAACAACACAGGTGTGCTGTGTCACAAGTGATAGTTAAACATACCCCATGAAAATGTAATTTATTGAATGATTATTCTCAACTTGAATACTGAGTATTCATTACAACCGTTGCTTAAATAGGCATCTGTTTTTCTTTTTATTGTTCACATGTACTGACTTGTATGAATAGAGCCATACTTGTAGGATTTGAGGTTTTCACGGCTTTCTTCATAGCCATACTTGGTTAAATTGCCAGCCAGAACATGGGGGGGAAAAAACAGTCCATATGAAAATGCATAGTTTTGAAGGCCAGAAAAGTACTGTAAGGATTATAATGACAGCTCTTGGATTCACTACTGGATTTTAACAAAATAAAATTTATAAAAATATTTGGTCAAAAGATTTCAAAACAAATTTCTCATGTGTATTAAATAATTGTTTTATAGAAGCACCGTTTTTCCAGGCACTGCTGGTATATCAGCTTCCATCTAGTGAATTTTCACACTTGACTAATGACACCCATACTGGCAGATGTGCCATGGTTATCAAAGTATACAGTGGCTTAGCATGGAGATTAAAGTACTCAAAACAAGGATAGGAAACTGTTCAAACCTAGTATCTAGCAATGTTAATTGTAACTTTTGCAAGTTATTGAAGAAAATTAAAAGAACCTGCATTTTATCAGTATCTTATGATATTTGCATATGAATGTGTGTACATATAGGTGAGTTTGTTTAATAATAAACCTTTCCTGGAAAACTGCATAGGAAATACATGATTCATGGTTATGCTGTATTTCACAACAGAAGTTCTGCTTTACCATGGACAAATAATTCACTGGTGTTGTACTGTTTAAAAACCTATGTCTTTTCCGCAAAGGTTTTGTAATTTTTTAATTTGTAAGATGAGCAAATTATAATATTTATATTCTGCTTTCCTGTATAAAATTCCTCTCCCTCGTTTCTTTTGTTGAAATACCTTCAAGACAATTTTACATGCCAACATTGAAATTGTAAATTCAATCTGTTGTAATATATGTATTGGAATGTATTGTTTATTCATGTAATTAAAAGCAACTGGAAAATAGTGGTACCTAATAATATTTGGCGGCTGCTAGCCCATTAGACCAATAGCGACAGTGCACCACCAAAATTTTAAATTAAAGCATGCCCGGATTATATGAATTTTCAAGGCTAGTATCGTCCTATTCACGCACGTTAATGAGCCAGTAATGTGTGCTAATTAATTATTACAGCCTTTCTGACTGTAGAAAGAGCGGCGGGTTCCAAAAAAAAAAAAAAAACTCCAACTTCAGCGTATACTTAAGACTAAGTTACTTATCCCAACTCATATCGAAATTCCTTTGCGTTGAAAGCGATGGAGAACGCACGGATTAACTAACTCCGGCGGCTGTGCGGTTCCCTTATATAGCCGCAGTGCTTGCCTGTTATGTAATGAGTGCCTTGTCACAGTAGGAACCAGTGCCACGTCACCGTGTTTGCGTATAGCCTAGAAACGCTGTTTACTCGCGCCGTCTTACGTCACCGTGGGAAGAGTGGTGGGGACGGAGTGCTGACTCATCCGCCACGTCACTGTGGCCAGAGTTGCCGCATCACTGCTGGGTAGGGAGGGGTTGTCCTCCATTGCGCAACATGTCACACTCTATATATATATATATAGTCACGTGTAGGAGGGTTTTGCCAGGCAATATGCAGCCTTTGTTAGTATGCTTTTTTGGCTCAGCCTTTATTGTTATTTCATTTTAGCAGCCTATCCACTATTAACCTTTAACGTATGGACTTCTAAATTGCCGGCAGCCCTCTGCAGCCGATATTTAAATCACCCTAATTAATTGACATTGCAAACTTTCAGAAAAAAATACATATTTTCCATTCTATGCAACGTAGAAATAGGTATTAAAAACAACCTGAAACACAATAAAATTTTCTACATGTACACAAAAGAGCAATTTTTACCAACGAAAATTAACTGTGATTATTTTGCCGTGAAATGCAAAATGTAATCTTTAATATATATGTTATGAAATTCCAAAAGCCTTACCCATTGTTTTTTTCAACCTTGAATCATGGTGATATTGTAAATATAATCACACTATATACAATAATATTTTGTTCAGACTGTACAAGAGTTTGAACTGCGTCTCTTCACAGTGTACGATACACACTCTGATGCACATGGAACTTCTCGAAGCAGTCCACTTCACACAGAGCAACATCACACTTTTTACAATGGAAGAGTGTGCTCCTGCTTTTCTTATATAGTGAAATGCAAGACGTCTTTGTTTCCCTTTGGTTGGCCAGTGTTGTGAATGTTTCACCTCCAATCAACTCATTTGGGCCCCAAGTAACTTTGGCCTCCCCCGGAGAAATGCCACTGACTGTGATATTCGCCTTCTGCGATTGAAGAATCATCCTGGGGGAGAGGGTTTTCTAGCAGAATCGAATAAATTATGTTGATTAAGAAAGCGACACACTCACGTATTAGTAATACAAAATAGTGATGCAAAGTAATTATAACACTAGTCGAAAAGAGTGCCAGTCCGACACTGATACCGAAAGTCACAGTGATGAAGATGCTTTTTACTCACAAAGTAATACTGGCTCAGGGGATTTAGACCTCTTCCAAGACAAAATAAAAGTGATATACAAAGAATTATATGACAGTCTGACACTGACTTTTTAACTGATAAAGAAATATTAGACAATCCGACGCTGACTTCCTGACTGATAATATTCACCATTGAAAAGCAACCCTTGAATGTGGCACGCTTCCTTGAAGGCTCTGGAAGCACTCATATGCAAGCACCGATGAATATTTCCTCATCAGTTCTTGAAACAAAGCTGAGCTATATTTGGCTGACCAGGTCATAAACAGTCATATCTAAACATAAATAGTATTGAAACCAGTGCCATGATAAACGATTTCATTCTTCATGACCTTAGGAGCGTTTGTTTTGGTTTCAAACCCAAGGTCAAACTGTCAGCACTCCCAAAGAGAGCATGTGTCGTACTATATATATATATATATTGTGACGTTGCGCAACGGAGAACCCCTCCCTACCCAGCAGCAATGTGGCAACTTAGGCCACAGTGGCGTGGCGGATGAGTCAGCGCTCCCCTCCCCCCCCGCACGGTAACGTAACGCGCAACGCGTGGTGACGTAAGAGGCGGTGACGTAACAGTGTTGCTACGTAACAGGCCCACACAGCCCCTATATAAGAGAGCTGCACTGCCTGCGAGAGTCAGTTGTAACGTAGCAGTTGGCGAGTTCCAAGCAAGCCTACGAGCGAGTGTGCTATCAACAGTTCTCAAGGTAGCAGCCTGTGAATCAAGTTGACATATAGCAGCAGTCGCGGAAAGAAGAACCGGACATGTGTGTAATTGTGAGTGTGTGATACAGTGATACATAGCTCCCCTACTGTATACGTGTAGACTACTGAAGACAGAGTGAACTGATTTGCGCATAGGCTTATAAATCGTGAAACCCCGCAACAGTGTAAACAGATTAATGCGATTAGGGTTATAAAGTGTGAAACCCCGCAACTGTGTGATAAGTACTTGTAGGTTGTTGAATAAACCAATTAACAATCTCTACGGCGTCCTCAGTGTCGAAACACGTTACAATATATAACATTCGGCCGTTAAAGGTTAATTAGATGCCTGTCCAGTCTTACAAATGCTTAATTTTATTTAATTTGGAAGTTGTTGAACAGTGGCAGTGCAGCTTAACTTCTGTTGAATCAGAAATCTCCGTACATGCTCATGGACTCAGGCACACACCACACAATGGGGTGTGCTCTCTCTGTCCCTCCCTCCACTTTCTGTCACCACTCTTACGCCTACTGATTTGACATCTCACTATACTGGGGCTTCAAACTTATTTCTCTTTCTATTAGGATTTTTCATGTTATTTACTCTCATTTT